TGGATGCCTCTTCTCTAGGCCTAGTGTTTCAGATCACCCCTCTGCCAGGCCATGGAGAATTAAAGACACTTGAGAGTGCTCAAAGCGAGCATTTACTTCATAATTCACCTCAGCAATGATACGGATCATTTCACAAGAATTCCTGCCCTCTTTAAGCTACTATATCATTGCCAGTGTACCTATTCTATTGCTGCAATGGGCAGGCATGGAAACACGTGAAATCATAAACATCCATGCTCATGTTAAGAATACCAATTCTCATACATACACATCTCAAAGTGGAGAATGATATCTGGGGGTTAAACAGAACACAAAGATGATAAAAATAAAAATAATCCCTTAAGATTAAAAATGTGGTCTAACAATCACTTTCAAGAAATATCTATAGTTTATAGGTATAGCTAATCTCCACTGCAACCCCCAAACCAAGGGATTTTTTAAAATGCTTCTTCGAGAAACTCTAAAAAGTTTAAGCTGATTTTAGAAGAACAGAAATCCAAAATTTTTACAAGTATAGCAACAATCTACAGTGGAAAGATTGCATACTGTAGAAGTAAGAAGGAAACATTTTGGGTTCTAACTCTGCCAACAACTATTTGTGTGACCTTGGGCAAAACATTAACCTTCTGCTTCTTTGTCTGGAAAAATGGGAAGATAATTAGTAAAGAAGTGAAAGAACAGCTTTCTTTTTGAAAGTGGATGCTATGGACTGAATTCTGTCCTTCCCAAAATTCATATATTTGAATCCCTAACCCCCAGTGTGACTGTACTTGGATATAGGGCCTTTATGGGAGTAATTGAGATTATATGAAGTCATAAGGGTAGGAACCTGACTGATAGTATTAGTGTCCTTTTAAGAGGAGACATCAGAATGTTTGCTCACTCCACCAGGAGAAGACATAGTGAGAAGGAAGCTGTCTGCAAACCAGGGAGAGAGCCCTCACTGGAAACTCACGTGCTAAACCTTGATTGGGGACTTACAGCCTCCAGAATTGTGAGAAAATAAATTTCTATCATTTAATCCACCCAGTATATGGTATTTTGTATTGACAGCCTGAGCTGACTAAGAGTGAATTAGCATGATCCCTGTTTTTCCTGAGATAAAGTGTCAGGATCATGTACTCAATGCTATGGTTTCCCATTAACAGGATGACCCCAGATTGAGAGTTATTTGCCTTGTTCTTTAGTATATTCACAAAGTTAGGGAAAGGAAGGTCCATATTAGAAAAATATTAATACATAAAACTTTAGCTATGGTAATTTTACAGACATATATTAAATGTGTTTGTGTGGCTGTGTATGTGTGTATGTATGTGTGTGTATATATATACATATATATGTGTTTGTGTGTGGGTGTATACATAACATATATGTGATAAATGCACTTGGTGCTTAAAAACAGGGATTTGAAACCAAGTTTTTGGGGTTTGAATTGTGGCCTTTCAACTTACTAGCTGTGTTCCTATAGGCAAATAACTTAAACTCTCTGAGCTTCAGCTTCTTCACAGCTAAAATGGAGCTAATAGTAGTATCTCTCTCACAGAATTGTTGTGAGGATTAAATGAGTGAATTATGCAAAGTTCTTAAATGTTGACTGGTGCTAAGAGCTGCATAGGGGTTCATTTTACCATTATATATGCCCACATAGACACAGATACAGACCAACTGAAAAAGTTTTAATCAAAATATGAAAAAGAAAAAAATGTGTAGTAGAGTTTTTTTCACTTCACATAGCCTGTGCAATTTTCCTGTCCTACCCGACACTAAAGAGTTAAAATCTGTGGTTAATTTCTAAAGTCTCAAAGTTTCTTTCAAATATATTGCCTGCTTGTACCTGGTAGAATCTAGAGAAATAATTAAGACATGGAACTAGACAGAAGGGGAGTGCACAAAAGGAGAATTATAGAGTAGATCAAGATTAGAGAATTAAAAAAATGCTAGATATAATCAATTTATAATTACATAAAAGGATTAAGAGTTCTATGTTGTCTATCATTTTCATATTACTAGTACTATTGATCAGAAGAAAATACTTTTTCTCAAATCAAAACTGATTCAAATATAACTGACTTTTTGTTTTCACACTTATGTTCTTCATGGCAGATCTTAGCTTACAAATAATTATAATAATAATTGTGACAAGAATCTAAAAAGACACTTATTTAGAACAATTAAAACTTTCCTCACATTCATATAAGTCAAATTCAACCTCCTGCTTCTCTGTTTAGGATTCATCTTTGCAAGATTAACTCTAGCCCACGGTGCGAAATTTTTTCTCAGAGGGAATTTTATCTCAGCAGAATTTCAACCCCTGTTATAAATGTAACAGTGGATCCTTTCTTCATGGGACAAGGGAAAATAGGTTTAACAATCTGCACAAAAAACATATTCTACTGATTTGCAATGTGCTGGAAGTGGGAACGTTAATAACAGCCTTTTGCTATTCTTTTCATCAATCTCAGAGGGATCTTTAATCTGGGTTATTTCTCCTGCACATGGCCATCAACTCGAAAGACTGATTTTTGTTTATAAAGAGCTTTTGGGGTCCAGGAAATTTTATATGCTTTCTCTGTAAGAATTTAATGATATTATTTATAACCACTAAATTCTACGTCATCAGTCCCTCTCAAGTTTACAAGTGATTTGAGATTAATGTAAAATTTAAAACCTATCAACTTTACCCACTATATGACAGTTGTGATCGAATGAGGCACCAAATATATGTGTAACATAATATGTGACAGAATCTCTCTAAGTAA